ACATACTGGCGTAATGGCCCCGTTGGATGAGCTCCTCAATTTGCCTTTTAAGGTCATAACAATCATCGGTGTTATGACCATGGTCGCGATGGAAGCAACAATACTTGTTTGGGTTCCTACGGTTTTGGAAAGACTTTATTCTCCCAGGCCACTTTATTGCGGGGTCATCCTGGATTTGTAATAAGATGTGCCCGACAGCGGCATTGAGGGGAGTGAAAACTTGTTGATCTCTCTGGGGAACAAGACCAAGCTGATCTTTGGTAGGTACTCACTTCGTCCTGCTACTGCGCTTGTTATTATTCTCCTTCTTGTTGTCCTTGTCTCTTTCTTTTCTCTTCTCCCCAGCTCTAGAAGATTCACCTTGTCTGGCCCTTGTAATGTCTTCAGCATTCGTGTATTTCTGGGCCTTCGCAAGCAGCTTTGACATACTCTTTGGTGGGCACTTCATTACGAAGAAAAAAAAGCTTGAAGACCAGAGGTCCCCTAGGAAAGTGGTCATGCTCACCTTATCATCAGGCTCCTCGAACTGAAGGACCTCCTCATTAAAACGAGTGAGATAGCTCCTTAGGCTCTCATCTTGATCCTACTTTATGTTGAGCAGGTGGGTGACAGCCTTCTGGTGACAACTCCCTCCAATGAAATGTGACACGAAGGACTTGCTAAGTTTAGCAAATGAGCCAATGGAGGCTGGGGATAGCTTGGCGAACCATTGTCGAGCGGATCCCTTCAATGTGGTTGGAAACGCTCTGTACATGATTTCATCGATGACGTTGTGTAGCTGCATCAAGGTCTTAAAAGTTTCGAGGTGATCTAGTGGATCCTTCGTATCGTCAAAGGTTTCAACAAATGACACTTGAACTTTTGAGGGAATAGGTAGTTTGCCACATCATGTTTGAAAGGTGTGTTGGTTCGACTTACGAGGTAATCCATTGTCTTGGGTCCTTGTGCCTTTATGGAGTTGAAGACGTCACCCAATTGATTTTGCACCTCTTTAATTTTTTCGTCCTAGTGATTGGGAGGAGGTACTCTGGAATTGTCACAAACATGGCTCCTATGCTCTATGCTTTGGTTTTCACCGTCATCCTCTTGGAAAGAGGGTCTCCACCATGGGGAGCAGGAGCAGGAGTAGAGGTTAGAGGAGGAAGTCCCTCATGATTGGCCCCCCTGTGTGGGGCGCCTAGATGGGGAGCTCTTTAATGACATAAGAGTGGAGCTCCCCTGGCTTGAGGTCCAGATTGTGTTCCTCCTTGTTGCCCGAACATTAATTTCAGAATCTGTTGGTTTTGGACTATAAGCTGCTGCATTGTGTCAAGCATCTGTTGTGCATTTGGGACGGGATTGGCAGGTGGAGAAGCAACCTCCTCCTCTTGTGGTGGAATGTCTTCAAGCTGACTCATGGATCCCGGTGGTGATTGCCTTTGATTCAGCAAATAAAGTGCTTACGTGAGAATTTCGTCGTTTTCCACAGACGATGCCAAACTGATAATGCACAAAATTGGTTTGTACACTACCTGTCAATTAAATAATAAAATGCAGAAAAGTAGAGAGAAAGAGAAGACCAACTTTATAGTTGTTCGATTAAGGTGACCTACGTCCACTTAGAATGGCAAGGGTCACTGAGATTTTATTAACTCCGGTGCAGTGGGAGAGCAGAAAATTACAAGCTTTCAGAAAGGAGGAGAGTATTATGCTCAAAATGAGTGAGATACCCCCCAAGTGTTGGTGGGGCTTACAATTTATAGTGGCTTAGTGTTGTAATTGAATAGCTAGTGTAGCGGTCGTAATGGATTAGGGTTGTTTAATAGTCATAACGGATTGAGGTGACTTTAACGGTGATTAAATAGCTTGACGACCTCTCATCTCTTCAACCGGTGAGGAAGTTATGGTGCTCTCCAAAGGACTTGGTTAAAGGATGTGGGAAGATTGACTCTTTCCAGGCAGTGAGAGAGAGAGTCCTAGATGCTCTCTCGGTGGCGCAGCTCCCTGATGGGCTTGTCTGGCTTGGACTTCATTTGGACTGGACTTGTCAGATCTCTTGGGATTGGATCATTAGTTTTGACCGTGCTTATAATATGGGTTGGGCCTAGCCCATTAGATGACATGATATCACCGATCAGTAATAAAATCCCAAATGGGAAAGGTGAACCCCACTTGAGCTTATATGATAGGAGGGTGAGAAGTTATTTGCTTATATGGTAGGTTAGTTATTGATTTTTGTGAGTCCATGTGCATATTTATGTCAGTATTATTAGTTGGTAATACACCATCACATTGTCACGTAGTATCACCATTGTAATGAATATTTTCTCTTACAGTTTACACCCAATTATGAATATTACATCCAAGTATTTAAGTAAAAAAGTGAGGGCCCGTTTGGTAACGTTTTTGTTTTCGTGTTTTCAAAAAAATAAAAAATAGATACAATTTTTATCTTTGTTTTGTAGTAAACATTGAAACAAAAAACATGTTTGAGAGTCTTTTGTGTCTATCAAATTATAAGAATAAAAACAAAAACACATATTTGGTAACAACTTTAAGTTATATCCTTAAGTCTCATGTTTTTTCTTTCAACAATGATATTGAGGCTTAACAAATTGAATTAATTTGATAAATTAATGATATTGTCAACAATTCCAAATGACAATTCAATCAATTTCACATGGCCATTCAATCCCAAATGACAATTCAATCACAAATGACAATTTAATCTCAATTTCAATTCAATACATTGCTTTTATCCCAAATGATAATTCAATTTTTTTTTTAAAAAACAAAACAAAATTTTATTGAGTAAATCAAAAGAATTACACANCATTAATTTCAGAATCTGTTGGTTTTGGACTATAAGCTGCTGCATTGTGTCAAGCATCTGTTGTGCATTTGGGACGGGATTGGCAGGTGGAGAAGCAACCTCCTCCTCTTGTGGTGGAATGTCTTCAAGCTGACTCATGGATCCCGGTGGTGATTGCCTTTGATTCAGCAAATAAAGTGCTTACGTGAGAATTTCGTCGTTTTCCACAGACGATGCCAAACTGATAATGCACAAAATTGGTTTGTACACTACCTGTCAATTAAATAATAAAATGCAGAAAAGTAGAGAGAAAGAGAAGACCAACTTTATAGTTGTTCGATTAAGGTGACCTACGTCCACTTAGAATGGCAAGGGTCACTGAGATTTTATTAACTCCGGTGCAGTGGGAGAGCAGAAAATTACAAGCTTTCAGAAAGGAGGAGAGTATTATGCTCAAAATGAGTGAGATACCCCCCAAGTGTTGGTGGGGCTTACAATTTATAGTGGCTTAGTGTTGTAATTGAATAGCTAGTGTAGCGGTCGTAATGGATTAGGGTTGTTTAATAGTCATAACGGATTGAGGTGACTTTAACGGTGATTAAATAGCTTGACGACCTCTCATCTCTTCAACCGGTGAGGAAGTTATGGTGCTCTCCAAAGGACTTGGTTAAAGGATGTGGGAAGATTGACTCTTTCCAGGCAGTGAGAGAGAGAGTCCTAGATGCTCTCTCGGTGGCGCAGCTCCCTGATGGGCTTGTCTGGCTTGGACTTCATTTGGACTGGACTTGTCAGATCTCTTGGGATTGGATCATTAGTTTTGACCGTGCTTATAATATGGGTTGGGCCTAGCCCATTAGATGACATGATATCACCGATCAGTAATAAAATCCCAAATGGGAAAGGTGAACCCCACTTGAGCTTATATGATAGGAGGGTGAGAAGTTATTTGCTTATATGGTAGGTTAGTTATTGATTTTTGTGAGTCCATGTGCATATTTATGTCAGTATTATTAGTTGGTAATACACCATCACATTGTCACGTAGTATCACCATTGTAATGAATATTTTCTCTTACAGTTTACACCCAATTATGAATATTACATCCAAGTATTTAAGTAAAAAAGTGAGGGCCCGTTTGGTAACGTTTTTGTTTTCGTGTTTTCAAAAAAATAAAAAATAGATACAATTTTTATCTTTGTTTTGTAGTAAACATTGAAACAAAAAACATGTTTGAGAGTCTTTTGTGTCTATCAAATTATAAGAATAAAAACAAAAACACATATTTGGTAACAACTTTAAGTTATATCCTTAAGTCTCATGTTTTTTCTTTCAACAATGATATTGAGGCTTAACAAATTGAATTAATTTGATAAATTAATGATATTGTCAACAATTCCAAATGACAATTCAATCAATTTCACATGGCCATTCAATCCCAAATGACAATTCAATCACAAATGACAATTTAATCTCAATTTCAATTCAATACATTGCTTTTATCCCAAATGATAATTCAATTTTTTTTTTAAAAAACAAAACAAAATTTTATTGAGTAAATCAAAAGAATTACACAAATCAAAGGGAAAGAAAATCCTCATTTACACCACAATTAGAAGGCTTTAATCCTTCAAAACACTCAAAAATCAGCTTCCACTAACCAGATTTGAAGCCCTGAGCTTTGATCCTACACCCTAAATGAAGTAGCAACAATCTCGCCTGTACTGGAAACTTCTCAGCATAGAAAAAGACAAATCTGGACTGCATTCTTTGCCAAACAATCCGTAAGCCCATTCGCCTCCCTAAACACATGACTGAGCTGATAAGAGAGCAGATCAAGTATCCTGTGAATCTGCCTCATAATAGACCACAACCTCCTAAATGGGAATTCAATCCCAATTCCAATTCAATCACAAACACAAAACACAACACACACACACCCAACACATAGACATAAACAGAAAACACACAGATACATACAAAACACACACAGAACACACATAGACACACAAATTTTAGGGGAAAATGAAAAAAAGGGGGGGTGGTTTCTGATGGATCTGCACACACAAATTTTAGGGGAAAAAAGAAAGAAAGAAAGAAAGAAAGGGTTTCATCACAGATCTGCACACAAAACTCACATATTTGACATATATTTGAATGGATACACTTACCTTTCACCAAACTGCGATAGTAAAATCGAAGGAGGAGATCGATGGACCAGCAGATGGAGGGTCGACAGGAGATCTATGACAGGAAGCCTCTTCATCGTCCTAGATCGTGGAGGAGAACAGGGTCATTGAGAGAGAGAGAGATGAGAATAAAGAGTAGAGAGGAGAAGAGAGTCGTTGAGAGAGAGAGTCGTTTAGAGATAATGGCCTTTGTGAGAATGAAAATGAAAAAAAAAGGGCCCATATTTATAGCACACATGGTGTGGTCTTTTTATAGCTAACAAGAGTCGAAGGTGAGACCTCATTAAACTTCCTCTTCAGCCAAGATGCGTGTTTTGTGTTTTGGTGTTTCCTGAAACACAATTTTTTTGTTCCCATTATTTTGGCTTGTTTTCAAGACAATTAAGATGAAACAAAAAATAAAAATAATTATCAAACACGTTTTTGTTTTTATTTTTAACAAAAATTGAAAACAAAAATACAAAACAAGAAACAAAAATGTCAAACAAACAGCCTTGAGGTTTTTGTACCATGGATAAGAAATGATTAAATTTATACTTCAACCAAAAAAAAATAAGACATGATTAAAGTGTCCACAATCTTGGTATATACTTCATCCGTTCCTAAATATCTGTCGTTTTACACAGTTTTTTTTATTCCATAATATTTGTTGTTTTATACAGGTTTTTTTGTTCCATAATATCTGTCGTTTTATAAAATTAAAGTATAATTAATATTTTTTTTCTAAATTTACCCTTAACTTTTCAATGCATTAGATTAAGTGGAGATTAAGTGTCTTCATATTTCTTTCCTTCCCAATACGTATTGAATAAGAGTATTTTAGTTTTATACAATTATTTTTTACTCATATTACAGGTATTTAATAGTTTCCTTAATCCCTGTGCAAAAATTTTAAACGACAAATATTTAGAAACGAAATAATAATATATTTTTAAAATGGTTCCCGTGCAAGGTATTGCACGTGTGCAATTATTAGTATTTTAAATGTGAGAGAATTTAAGTGATTAAACATCAAATAGGGATGTAAGTGTAATTTTTCGTAAAAATTTTATTGGGTGGAAATGAGGTATTTATAAGGCTAAAATAGCCCCCACCCTCGCTTTAATAGCATGCAAAAACCCTTTCAAGTCTCACCTAGTTCCCAAAACCTCCTGTTGCTGTTTCTCTCTTGGAGCTCCAGACTTGATCACTTCAATGGCGTTCGAAGTCCTCTTCTATCAGGCTCGCCGGCATTACTTCATAAAAACTACACCTTATCAAGCCAGTCTCTTCCTCCGCTCTCACTATTCTTCACACCCTCCATTTTTACTCTTCCACAGATTACTCTCTTCATCAACATCAGCAGAATCAAATCCTGAACCAACCCCAGAAACCCAACCTCCAAGAAAACCCCAACCAACACCAATCCAGCCAGTTTCATACCCCACAAAATCCAAAGACCCATCTGGGTCTCAATCCCAACCACATCCTTCTCAATCGTCACCACCCCCACCGCCTCAAAAACCCCGAATATCCGAAACCCATTTCGAAAAACCAATACTTTCCGAGGTTCGGACATGGACTAGAGAGGATATTCGGTTTGTAAAAGACGTGCCACAGATATCTCCGGTGTCGTATCCCACCCGGGTTGCGCCGTTGCCGGAGGATAGAGCAGAGGTGAAGGAGGAAGGTGAGGATAGGAAGGGAGAAAATGAGGAATTGGAGAAGGAGAGGAAAAGAATTGAGGCTGATAATCGGGTAATTCGGAGGGTTTTAAGGGTTGAGGAGGAAAAGGTTCCGTTTCCAACATTGATTAAGGTAGAAAATAAGAGGAACGAGAAGGTTATTTATGATCTTAAGGAGGGGATTAAGCTCGTGAAGGTCCGTGTTTTGTTCTTACACTTTGGATTGAATTGGGATTTGAATTTTGATTGATTAGTTGGTTATATACTGATTCTTGAATGCATTTTGTTTCTCTTTAAGTGTCCTTATCTTTTACATGTTAAAGTTGTTAAATATGTGTGTATCAAACTGGTAAATGTAGGTTACTTGTTGTTCTTAAGTTCTTATAATACACATTACATATTTCAGTGCTAAAACCGGGCTCACAAGATTTTGGGTCCTAGTCTTTGTTTGCTTTTGTTTTTAAGAGAAAGTTCTTTTATTTTTTATTTAGCAGTGTGGATAAAATTGAGGGAACAATGATCTTGAATATTGAAGAACTATTTACATCTTCCTAGCAAAGTTATGTATTTGACAAGTAACTCACAGGTTTGAGTTAAGAACATAGTTATCAAAATCGTACGATTCGCTATTCGATTCGTACAATTCAATTTGATATAGTCCCTATTAGATTCGTATCATAAAATTATTTTTGATAGAAAATGAATCGCAAGATTCGTACGATTCGATTTGAATCGAAAGAATCACACGATTTATACTGATTCGAATCAAAAGAGTTCGAGGTTCACGAATGAATTGACTGACAACACCCACTAAAAAAGTAATATTTAGCAGAGTATGTGAGAGATATGCTAATCTCCCCACTAGTTTTGAGTATCTGTCCTTTTTTTCAACTACCTCCCTAACACCACTATTCAATTGATGGTTGATTTCAATAGAAGAATTTGTAGGTCTATATCCCAATGGCCCTATCTCTTCAAGAATATCAAGAACAAACTTCTCCGGGAGATAAAAATATTTTTATCTGATCTGACAACTTCAATTCCAACAAAGTACTTTAGTGGACCTAAGTCTTTGATTTAAAATTCCTTAGCCAATTGATCCTTCAATTTGGTGACTGGTCATCATTTCCCATTACCATTATGTCATACACATATACAATAAGAATTGTAATATTATTGCTAACTTGCATGATTAACACAGTGTGATCAATATGGCTTTGTTTATATCCAAATTTTAGCATTGCTTTAAGGAACCTATCAAACTAAGTTTTGGGAGATTGCTTTAACCCACAAAGAGACTTCTTCAACTTGCACACCTTCCATTTTATTATCTAAGATGAAAAATTATGTGGAATCTCCAACCCTTCCTTCAAATTTCCGTGAAAAAAGACATTTTTCATGTCTAACTTTTGTAGATTCCACCCTAAATTAATTGCACAAGGGATAAGGGCACATATGGAGTTCATCTTAGTCACAGGGACAAAAGTCTCTGACAAAAGTCTCTGATGTAGATCGTAATAGTTTTGATACCAAATTGATGTAAATCGTATTAGGGAAGAATTAGGGATGAGAAGGGAAGAAAAAATGGATGAAAAAATAAGAAGAGGAAGGGGATGAGAATATAGAGAGAATTTTAAGAAGAAGATTCAATATCAATAATTAATAATCAAAGTCTAGTCTCTCAACAAATATGTATCCCCTATATATATAAGGAATTCACAAATCCTATATATATAAGGAGATCACAAATCCTAAAATAAATAAATAATCAAAATGACAACTAAACCTTTAAAAGTTAAAAGAAATTACTTAAAAGCTAAATATTAAAAGTATCTAAATAACTATCATAATTAATCTATAATATCTATCCAATTCCTACACGATCCCCATCATTTTTCTTCAGTTGAAAAAAACTCTCCTCCGGAGAGTTTTCAAAATAGAAGTACCGCAAGAGAGCAAGATGAAAATGACATAATACCTCATCTAGAATGAAAGAACCATCGACTTCTTTCCATCGACCAGGATAAATGCAAGAATCTCCATCTGTATGAACACCTGTGAATAAAATTGGAGGCTCTGGAGTACCTCGATTAAGCAGCATGTCCTCCCAATAAAAATCTGGACTAATACTAATATTCAATGAAAAATTAAGCAAATAAGCATTAGATCCAAATTCAAGAATAGCAAAATAATTCCCATTAGATTTGAACAATATGCATTTAATGGGACAAGACATCAGTGACAAAGGAGTAACTATAACACTCTGGTGCTGAAAATAAGAAAGTACAGACTCAATTGAACACTTGATAGTAGGCAAAGAATCAAAATTAACACTCTCAAGTGAGGCAGAATCCAGAACAATGTCAACAATCTCAGATTGGGAAGAATCTATAACAAAGTCACGATGACTTGGACAAGTAGACATATAATAGTCATTATTAGATTCTGTAATAAATGACTCGATTAGTTTAATATCTTGCATAGGTGTAGATTCAACAGACTTTTTCACAATTTTCAAGATTAATGATGGTTCAAGAATTGACACAAACAAAGACACACTTTCTTTCGAAATAGACTCTTGTGGGGGCAAAGGAGGAATACTCTGATATGATGAAACTAAATGAGGGAGTTGGAAGTCCATATGAGTAATATTTTTCTCTTTATCTGACACTAAAATATTTAAATTCTTTGTCACATTCGAATTAGGAAAGTATGCAGAATCAACATGGATATCGTTTAAGTATTCATGATACTCATATGTGATGGAATTAAAATTGGAAGATGTCCTATCAGCAGGCTGTGATTGAGAACTCATCAAGGTATAGTTGGATTTCTTATGAAATCTCTCAACCTTTAGAGCATATTGATAGGCTGCAACTAACGTATTAAAAGTGTATTGTTTAACCTCCCTACTAATTTTTTGTCTCAACTCAAAAATAAACTGATCAATTGTCCAAGGTTCTTCAACAATGTCACACAAGTACATGAGATAATCAAACTGGACAAAATAATCAGAGACACTAGAAGAATGTTGTCTAAGATTGAGCCATTGGTTATAAACTTGATCCATATAGGAAGTAGACAAATACTTCTCTTTCAATTTATATCTCATTTCAACCCAAGTGATAGGTGATTCTCCTAAGAGGTCTAGGCTTCTTTGGATTGTTTGCCAATACTTCTTGGCGGAACCCTCCAACGTCAATTTAGTAAAACGGACGCGATGGGAATCCGACATGCCATGCCAATGAAAATATTCTTCTAAATTAGCTAACCAATCCAAGAATTGATTGGGATCCGGAGTACCACAAAATGTAGAAGGATCTTTGATTTGTTTGGTCATATAAGTTGACTCCATGTAAACATTCTTTGACTTTCTATGATGATGACATTGAGAAGAGATTCTTGAAACGTGCGTATTAGAGAAACTCATGAGTGACTCTTGGAATAAGGGAATGACGCCAAAACAAGTTCAAGAATGTAATTGACAAATAATTTGGATCCTTTGCAAATTTTTTTAATTTTTTAATGAATAAAAATATCAGTTTCAAATTTCTATAGGAGTATGCATACCATAATCAAGAGGAAATTCTGAAATTTTTTGGGAATGATTCTGCAATTTTATGGATCTGTTGGGAATATTTTTTGTAATTCTGGAACTTTTGGGGGGAAGATTCTGTAATTTTTGAAATTTCTAGTGGTGATTCTATAATTTTTAAAATTTTTTAGTAGTGGTTCTGTAACTTCTAGAATTTTCTGGGGTGTTTCTGTAATTTTTGAAGATCTCTTGGAATGTGTCTGCAATTTTTGGGACTTATGGATATGTTTCTGTAATTTGCTGAATCTACTGGGAACTTTGGTTCAAAACTTAACCCACCAGGCTACTGTTACAGCGACGAAATATGATAAAAAATTTTTGTTTCCTCATTTTTTTATCTTTTACTGATGAACAGCGTTTTTGGATAAACAATATTTTTTTTTGATGAACAATACACGAATGAACAGTGCACCCGTGAACAGTAACTTCGTTTTTCTTTTTAAAATTTTTTTTTTTTTCGAATCGAAGTTGGGCTGTGATACCAAATTAATGTAGATCGTAATAGCTCTGATATCAAATTAATGTAAATCGTATTAGGGAAGAATTAGGGATGAGAAGGGAAGAAGAAAGGGATGAAAAAAGAAGAAGGGGATGAGAATAGAGAGAGAATTTTAGGAAGAAGATTCAATATCAATAATCAATAATCAAAGTCTAGTCCCTCAACAAATATGTATCCCCTATATATATAAGGAATTCACAAATCCTATATATATAAGGAGATCACAAACCCTAAAATAAATAAATAATTAAAATGACAACTAAACCCTTAAAAGTTAAAAAAAATTACTTAAAAACTAAATATTAAAAGTATCTAAATAACTATCATAATTAATCTATAATATCTATCCAATTCCTACACGATCCCCATCATTCTCTCGATAATCAATACAATATTTCTGAGTGATCTCTAAGCAACTAGCCTAGTTTTGTATCTCCCAACAGTCCCATCAACTTGTTGTTTTACAGTAAACACTCATTTGCACCCTATTGCCCTTGCTCCACGAGGAATAGAAACCAACTCCCATCTATTATTTTTTTCAAGGTTTTCATTTCCTTTACTCTAGTTTTTCTTCACTTAGGATCTGTGAGAGCCTCCTAGAAATAGATATAGAAGACAAGGAGGAAACAAAAGTGTGATAAGACGGAGACAAGGAATCATAAGAGACAAAGTTAGAGATAGGATGTTGAGTACAAGCTCAATCACTCTTCATGACTTCAATAGGAAGTTCAGAGTTATCAATGGATTATCAATAACAAGAGTAACATTTGCAGGTTCATTACCTAATAAATTAGTTGATGATGAAACTAGAGTTGAAGAAATCAACTGATTTGGCGACACATGACTTGTCTATACTTTTTGACGTTGAGAATAAGTTTATAGATTATCTTTGTTAAGGTGAACGTCATGTGGATCATTGATATCACCAATTTTTTTCCATAAGTTGTTGCTCTCCTAGATTGATACTCCACTAAACAGGCAATGAAAAATAGGTTCCTGACAAAATATGTATTCCTCGATAGTGGTATTCTCTCCCTGAAGAGATGTTTGGGGAGTGAAGAAAGACTCAAACACACAAAAGGTAATATCCATGCTAATACACATTTTTTGAGATCGTGGATGATTGCATATATATCCTTTTTGGGTGAAAGAATAA